GGGCCTAAGCTCTGTGGGGGCTGCCCTAGCTCTCTGGCGGCCCCATAAGCACAGGGAGAAGCAGGCTGTGCTGTGAGAACTGAGCTGCTTTGCTGGAGCTGCAGGTTGTCGTACTGTGGGACTTAGCCTTTTCACACACCGACTCCCCAGAGATGAGTGCTGAAAAGGAGAGCAAAGTGGAATAATCGGCCGCCTTATTGCACTGCAGGGTAAGGTTTACATAGAAAAGGCTAGAAGCAGAGAGATTCCAGTGGGATAGTAATAGTGGGTAAGAACAGAAAGGGTGAACAAGGAGCTCAACCCAGTTTACACTTTTGGTGGGAAGTCTCATGTTTTCCCTCTGCAATCCAAGCCCCAGTGCCTCCACCTTAGCCCACCTATGAATACTGCCTCCTTTCCCGTATATGGATAAAATGTGGCTACGTTTAGAGATGAAAGTAATTGGTTCTCAAGCTGGGACAGTTTCTGTTTATGGAAACTGTCTCATACTTTTGCAGGTTTCCACCATAACTGTATTTGTCTCTTTTCACTCCTAGTCTAATGTGTGGTTTGCTGCATAGAGCAAATTGTGTCCCCCCACCTCCCAAGCACTCCTCTGTGGCCCTCAGTCGAGCCAGGTGATAGCTATAAGGCAGCTTCTTCACTCTTCTCCTCTGGATGTCAGAGGAGAAAGCAACCTCCAGGTGGGCAACCCCTTCCTGGGAGACATAGTCTATCAGTTTAGTGACAGGTGCCCACAGCTACTTTTTCATCATGTTATGGGGCTGAATGAAGTTGACTGAGACATTAATTTGTCCTCTGTCTTGACTTCTACAGGCTCTGAAGTTTTTGTACTGTCTCCTTTCTCTTTCAAGAGCCTGTTGCTATAGGAACCCGGCAGGTTGATTTAATTGTCCCTATTGGGATGCAGGCACCTTCCGGCTTTTCCTAGGCTGAAGAAGAGCCAATTGATAGGCCTTTCTGGTCATCTGGGATTTAATAACTTGGAAAGAGGCACAGGCCATCTCTGCTTACTGAGCTCACTTGGCTGTTGCTCTCTCTTGGGAATCTGCATACTCAGTTCAAGAAAGTGCCAACAGCAAGGCAACCCTGCTGGTGAGTAGTTATTTACTTAGCTTTTAAAGATAAGTCAAGTGGGCAAGGATAAGGTATAAAATAATTAAATAAGGTATGGGAATATTTAAGGTAAATTGTAGCAAATACTCATTGAGTATCTATTGTGAATAAAGTTCTGGATAACAATCTTTAATATTCATAGCAGAAGATCTCTCCCAACTGTGGTAGAATTTTAACAATACTCACATGGATAAATAGCCACCTGAGTTCACGCCAACAATAACCCAGTGTAACACCTGTTAGGCATGCTGACGATTTCATGACCATCTGAATAGTGTGAAGTTTCATTGTGCCTCCTGATCTACAAACCTACTCATTTTAACTGAAAGATAGTCATCCACAAGAGGTAGACAATAAATCAATGGGTACAGTACAATAAATTCTTAAGGGTATTGATTCGTAGTTTAAACTCTTGAACACAAATTGACTAGTTGAGAAGTGAATGCCCATTTAATTCTCAATTTTACAAATGTTGAAAATAATAAAAAGAAAATTGGACTACAAAGATGACCTCCTTTTCTAGACAGGCGGAAAACATAAGGCTCAGACTGTTTTTAAATGCAGAGACTTTCCGGTCAAGACGATCTTTACCTTGTACCCACTTTTGTTTGTGAGAGAGGAAGGAAGAGTGATAATATTAAACCTTTCTAAGGGAAGAGCTCCTGAAAGAGTCTAACAATCCGGAGTCTAACAGAAAACCAGGGAGAAGACCCTTCATTCTGGTGCGGAAAGTGTAATACTCTCATTTGTGGTAACAAGAAGGAAGTAATAATAATATTTTTCCATCATTGGATATATCATTACCCAACTATAGTCAACTCTCAATTATTCACCAGTAAGAATTAGTTGTATATCTAGTTCAATCCAGGGAAGATCTCAAAATTCCATCTCATGTCATAGTCTGTTCCCACTCCATTCCAGTCATAATAGCATCTCATCAGAGTTGCTATACAATTGTATACAAACCACATTTTGAATTGACTTCTCTCTATCTGCCCAATCTCTGGTTGGGATTTTACCTGAAAGGCAAGTGGCAGGAGAGACCTGGATAATATAGGAACTGAATCAACAGCACCCAGACAACTGAGTGTGGACTATTTAGTTGATGAATACAGCTGAACAGGTTTAACTTTGGGTCATACTGATCCAATATAAAGGAAACCACTGCTTTTGCCATCAAGAATACTTCTGGTTTGAGCCAAAAGGAAGATAAGAGGTTAAGAGAGAAGCTTATTTGCCAAACAGAATAGGTATATACACTTTCCAGAAAAATATGTCAACTGGTATCATCGGCCTTGCCAAGATAAACACTGAGATGTGGACAGACTGATGGAGGGGCTAGGTTGGGGTGGTGGTAATCAGGGGGAATGAAGGAAGACAGGTTTCTCAGTGGGAAATGCTTTTGGATTTGGACAGGGTACCAATGTGGGCAGGGAGGCCACGTGCAGATTTAAAGGCAAGCCAGATGGAGAGACGTTCCCCCAAATTACCCAAACCCCAAGCCCAAGAACACCAAAACAAACTCTAAAGGGTCTAGCATTAGCAGCAGCACAGCCTCATTGCGCTGAGCAATTTACAAAGTAGAGGAAGGCAGAGGGGAAAAGGGTTGGAAAAGGGGAGAAAACCAAAAAAGCAAACCAAAAATAAATAAAACCACAAAAGGAATAATTTAAATCAAAATAAATCAATAACAGAATAGAATTTGTAACTCCTTTTTTTTTTTAATTTCACAAAAATTTTCACAAGGACAACGTTATAGAAGAAAACCCCCAGCAGTGGCTAGGTCATGCAGAACCATTAATTATCATACCTTGGCCCATTTTATTCATCCTTGTTGCACTTTAGAGAGAGAAGTAAGCTATATGAGTTTTACAATGCTTTTAAACTGTCATATTTCCTGTCGAGCACTTTAACTGGCACATTCTTAGAGTTATAAATGTTCTCAGGGCATAGCTTTCTAACTTCCTTTGCAAAGGACACATGAAGATCTCTCATGATCCCAAACTAGGGGATATATATATATATGTATCCTATATACATGGCTATATATTAATATATTCCTATAGTTATATATATAGAAAGGTATAAGTAATATATATCATTATATAGGAATAAAAATAATTTTAAAAATCTTTTACTCATAGGGCCCTTTAACATATATGTATACAATTACTCCCCGTCCCATTACTGGTTTGAACACTATTCTGCCCCTGTCTTTGGTGCAGGGGTGGGGTGGAGGTTCTGACTGAGCCTGGCCATTTTGTCAGTAAAAGTGCTTGTCAATTCACACAGCAAGCAAATCTCCAAGACTACCATGCTTGGGGGAGGAACAGGGGATCCAAAATCTAAACCCAAAACACTCACCATAAAAACACCATTGTAGAAGAGGTACCACTGTTGACATCTTTCTCCTCCAACTCACCCCTATTCTACTCAACCAAAAGCTTTAAAGCATTTCAGGCACCCTCGCAGGGAGAGCCCATCCATATGAATGCCAGAATTTGGTGAGAGCAGAGTTGACCAATTTTTAAGAACTGCTGTACTGCCTAATGCATGATCTGCATTCATGAAACACCTGACAACGCTACAGTGGAAAAAAGGACAATTCCCCCCAACTTTACTCTCATGCTAACTGTTTTCTGAAAAAGAAAAGAATATGCCAGAATGTATTTGGTTCACTGCCCCATTCTTCTTCTTATCCCCATCACTTTATAACTAACTACCAGTAGTAGTTCTCTATGGGTTTCATTCACCTGCCTTGGGGAGTTGGCCCTCTAGAAAACTGGTGATGAGAAAGTTCTTCCACTGGAGTTCTGCTTCCGGACAGCCAGACTCAGGCAGCAGAGCCAACAGACAATTGTGGTAGTCGGCTTTTGTCTTTGTGGAGTGAGGCTTGATCCTTACAACATGATCTGCTGCTGGGTTGATCTTCCTCTCTCATTTACCATTATCCCATCCCCTGCTCTTAACTGGCATTGGGGCCCTGGTGCATCAGACAAAGGGGAGTAAAAAGGTCCCCTGAGAATGCGTGCAAAAATACTTGCTCTTTCCTGAGCATTATTTATTCTGTACATAAGGTAGGTAATTCACCTTTTAAAAGATGTAGAAGTCCCAGGAGGGCAGTTTTTTTAATGAGTTATATCTGATATTTATGATACATATGGCTTTTCATCCCAAATGTCAAAAGGGAAAGGAAAAAATAGCTATTCATATGGCAGCATAAAGAGACAGAATAACAATTTAATATGCAACCAGAGCTATTTTCACTGAAATTAAATCACCAGGATTTGAGACCTACATGAATGGAATACTATTCTTTTCCTTACTAAGATTAGAAGTGTTCATCTGAACTCCCAAAGTCTGATAGCTTTGGGATGAAAGGCGTGGGTGAATAACTGAAAAATCTTAGATGTTCTCTTATAAAAGCAGGTGTTTGATAATAATCTATGCAAATAGTAAACGTCTCTAAAATGCTTTTCAATAGATCAGCCTAGAGAGCAGAAACAACTGATATGTTTGCTTTGTTTTTGGTTGCTTGCTTCAAATAAATGTGTGTTAATTTATTGTGTGCATAAAAACAACAACAACAAAAGAAAACACAAAAGAGATAAAAGCTGGAAGCATCCTGATAATCCTGACAAATCAGAATAAACTTTCCTTCCAGGTTAAATAAACACACTTTACATAACTGATACTGCTCCAAATGCTCTCTTCTTATCCTTGAACTTGTTCCTACAGTGAGCTCTTTATGTCGGAGTGGGCCCATGGGTGAGTTTTTGCCTAGAGTCAAATAATTTTTGGTCCGCCTGCTTATTTGCTGTTGTGCTCAAGGGTTTTATGGTGGTGAAATAAAAATGACAACCACATGCATACTATCATACATATGCAAAATATGTGTTTAAAAAAAGAGGGGAGAGAAAGCTACAGGGGAAACAGCGACAGTTACTATTGGGAACAGCACCCGGGGAAATGAGTGGCAGATACAGTTTCACACATGGTGGCAGTGGATACACAGATCAAAGCCGCTCTTCCTGCACGTACTTCTGTTTTTCCCGGGACTCCCTGGACTTGGGGCGGTTCGGCCGGTTGGCTGTGGACGGGATGGAGTGAATGGAGGAGCTCTTCTTGCTAGAGGACTGGGATGAGTGGGAGGAATGGGAGAGGCTGGCTCGAGACTGGCCGGCATTGTGGTCAAACTGCATTAAGCAGAAGATCAGGTCCGTGGGCACGAGCTCAAACTCGTACGGGGGGTTGGTGATGACATACCTGGGCGGAAAAAGAAAAGAAGTTAGTGTCGAGGAAACCGAGTCGGAGAATTCAACTCTCTCTGTGAACGAAAAGGAACTGCCGGAGACCTTCCGGAGGCAGAGAATTAAAGGCCTTCAAAATGATCTTCCAGGTTCATTCCAAATCGAACTAAATCATAACAGAAGAGCTCGGCCACGGGCTGGTAGATATGCCCAATTAGTGCCAACTTGGGCTTCTGGTGCTCCACGTGCGCCTTTCGATACCGCACCAAATCCACTTCTGGTCTCGAGTGGCTCAACGAAGGGGGTTCCGTGGATAGAACTGCAACTTTCAAGTGGGACATTGCTCAGAATCCCGGGCACATCTCTGGGATTTTGATTGCTCAATGCTTTGTTTGACCTTCTTCAGTCTTTGCCTTTTTGGAAACCAATTGTAGTGGGAGCCTAACTGAGTGGAAGAAGAAAAGACACGGCCTAGCTTCTTTCTCAGCCCTGCTTTCTTGCTCTCTTTCTGACCATCATCCCTCAGCAGCTAGGGCTGGGAAAGGAGCGCCGTGTGTCACTGGGCACCCTCAAGAGCAGAGGTCCCCAAAGTGTGGTCATGTTAGCATCACCTGTGAAACTCTTCATCATTTAAATGTTTAGGCCCCACCTGAAACCTAATGCATCCCAAACTGATTGTGGGGCCCAGCAATCTTCATTTTCACAAACTCGTCAGGGGACACTCATACATGCTAAACTGTGAGAACTTGCTCACCTACAGCAAACTTTATCTGACTACATATTGTAATACCTCGGGGAAAATTGTACAGAAACACACATGTAACCAGGATGTTTCAAAAATTTTGGAGAAAATGGAATTAAAAATAATGTGGATTTTTTCCCATGAATTTTTTAAAGCCCCTTATATGTAAAATATGTATTAATATATTTATCTGTGAGGTATAACTAAATGCCCCAGCCACCTAAAGTTTTATTGACACATAATTCACATATCATACAATTCAATAGTTCAAGCATATAAAAAAACAGCTGTACAATCATCACCACCATCAATTTTAGAACATTTTCTCTGTCTTGTACCGATTGTTATTAATTAGCTCTCCATTTTCTCACTTCACGTGCCATACCCCCCAAGAGACCATTAATCCAATTACTGTCTTTATAGACTTACCTATCTTAGATTTCATATGTAGAAAAATATACAAATGCAAAAACAAAATAAAACAGAGAAAAGCCTAAACCCCTAACATAGAAAATATTAAAAACTAAAACAAATTTAAAGTTGGTCAAAAGGGAGATGAAATGATAAGGTGTTAAATGTTAACGTAATTGCATTTGCAATATGGGAGAAGTATGGGGTTTCTATTCCAGTAAGGAGTTAGAGCAGAGGTTCTCAGCCTGTGGGTCATGACCCCTTGGGGGGCGGGTGTCAAATGACCCTTTCACAGGGATCACTGGATTCATCGAAGTAACAAAATGACAGTTGTGAAGTAGCAATGAAAATAATCTTATGGTTGGGGGGTCTGTTACCACAACATGAGGAACTGTAGTGAAGGGTCGCAGCATCGGGAAGGTTGAGAACCACTGAGTTAGAGTCCTGGAAACCCACAGGGGCAATTCTCCCCAGTCCTACTGGATTGCTGTGAGTAGGAATTCATGGCAGTTAGTTTGGTTTTTGGCATCTGCAATCATCCACAAGGAACTCTTATAGTAGTAAAGCTATTCACATTCCTGGTCTATCATCACAGGGATTCACTGGAGGATTAATTTAACTGCATTTCCCTTCACTTTTTTTTAAACTAAAACAACTCTAAAATGGGTCACAAGGCAGATCAAATGAGAAGGTATTACCTTTTAGCCTAACTTCATCTGCCATAATTAACTTCACATTGCTCTGTCTGATAGCAAGTCGATTCACATCCCTCCACTGTGGTCAGAGGGGATTGATTCACTGGGGGCATAATCCATGTGTGGGCTCTGAAAATGGATTTGGGGCTCACACTGTCACCCACAGCCTTCTACAAACCAGGTGTTCACAATTTCAGCTCATAGCATTCATTCCCTCTTCAGATTTGCTGTCATGCAGGAGGCAAGCAGCACTTAGAAACACTCATCAATAGCATTTTTTCCTGGGGTGTTTTATGCCAACTTATTGATTTTGATAATCTTAGGATATACTTTTAATGTTTATCTTCTATGAATTATTCTAATGCATATTAGAGAAATACAAAAAGGGCACTAAATAATTCTTTCCTGGCTAAATTGATAATATACAATTTCCCTAAAACTAAATATATAAAGGTTGTAAGTGAATCCATTAAAAACATATAAAGTAAAATATAATGATGTGAAAACTTCTAGTGAATTAGATATCCACAGAGGTTGTTCAGCAGCTGGATGGTTGCAGTTTGAGGAAGATGTTTGTATTTGGAATTTTGTTACTTAGTGATAGAAGGATTCTATAGAGAAGAAATTCTTCCCACAATATCTTTATATCAGCTATTAGTCATGGCAGAGAAGTAAAAGCAGAGAAGACTCCTACAATGTCCAAACTCAGTATTTATTGAATGCCACAGAGTAATTTGTATTTTGAGAGCATGTTTATAGCTCTCCTTTATACTGAGAGTCCAAATCTCATGCTGTCTAGTTGGTTCCAACTCATGGCAACCTCAGGTTTTACGAGAACTGTTTCATCAGGTTTTCTTGGCCATATTTTTCTTTTCTTTTTAGCAGCGAAAACTACATTTATTTTGGAGTTGGGGAAAAAATGCACAAAATATACTTAATAGATGTTTTACCTCCAGGAAGCCACTTTCATTCTCTAATCTTTTAAAAAATATTATTAATAAATCTTTTTATCGGGAGCTCTTATAGGTCTTATGATAATCCATACATCAATTGTATCAAGCACATTTGTACATAGGTTGCCATCATCCTTTTCACAACATTTTCTTTCCGCTTGAGCTCTTGGTATCAGCTCCTTTTTTCTCCCTCCCTCCCCCACACTTCCATCCTCCTGAACCCTTAATAAATTATATGTTATTATTATTCTTTTCATATCTTATACCACCTGCTGTATCCCTTCGCAGATCATCTGACCTTTCTTCTGCTATGCCACTGGGTGGATTTGAACAAACAGCCTTTAGGTTAGCACGCAAAAGAAAAAAACCCAAACCAAAAAAAACTAATTACTGCCATTGAGTAAATTCTTACTCATAGTGATGCTGTAGGACAGGGTAGAACTGCCCCTGATGGTTTCTGAGATTGTAAATCTTTACGAAAGTAGTAACTGAGTGCAAATTGTTTGTGCCACCCAGGGACTTTATACTAGGGACAAGAATGGGTAGTGATGTCTTTGCACTGGGGGTGGGAGAGCACATGTGCACACACACTCACCTCTTCGTACACTGACTAGGGGTGCTGAGGTGGGCATCTCTCAGCCGGTAAATCCCAAAACAAAGCATATTATAGGTTTTCAGAGCTTTGCAGAACAAATCACCATAACAACCACCATCCTGGAAGACCACAAAGGAACAGTGAATTATAATTTTTAAAATAATATTATTGACATATAATTCATATACACAAATCAATAGTTCAATCATATTAAGAAGAGTTGTGCAATCATGACGACAATCAATTTTAGATTTTTTTTCCTTTCTTATATTCATTGTGGTTAACTCCCCATTCCCCCCCCCCAACCTTTGAAATTATTTATTCCATTACTGTGATAAGATTTGCTTATCTTGGATTTCATGTACAGAAAAACACACAAAATAAAAACAAAACACCTTATCATTTGTTCTCCCTTTTGACTCATTTTAAATTTGTTCTAGTTTTTATATTTTCTGCTTTCTTTTCCATTGAGAATTCTCATTTTTATTTTCTTGAGTGCAAAGATGCAGTAGGGATGGGCCTTTATAAGGAAGCTTGTTTGGGAGTTCCTTAAATTGGAGAGTCTGGCTGGAACTGTGGCTTGAAAATTTAACACACTAAACAGCTTACACCCAATATTGGAAACATTAGAAATCAAATGACAATAAAGTTCTTCTCTGCCATATCTCTAGCTTTTCATCTGGAGCATCGAGAGTTCTGGAGAGACTGTATATCCCTCACTTCAAATGAAGGCGGCAAGCTTGAAGGTCAAAGGTGTATGTTCCACTGAGAAGAAGCCAGCTCTGCACAATGGTGACTGTGCTTAGCCTGACATCAGCTGTATCCTGACCGTGATGTCAAAACTACCCAAGTGATAATTAAAAACACTGCTAGGAGAAAAGACCCCGCCGGGGATAATGTTGACAGACTCTCCCAAGTAAGGACTGTGTGAAAAGCACAATTTACAGACCTCAGAGATAGCAAAGGTGGAAGAGAATGTGTTTCTACAGGAACTGGAATCTGTGGGCTGAATAACTGGGATTCACAGCTTTAATCACTTCACCACCTTCGGAGTGCCTGAGGCCCAATGAAGACCATGAAAGCAAATCCATCCACTTAGAAACACTGGCTTCATGTCACCAAGTGGCTTCACCTAGGCAGTATTAGAGTTAAGGGCATTGACAAATGACTTCCCTTGCAAAAAACATAACTATATTTGTTCTTTCTACAGTTGCACTTTGATAAAGGCACTATATTAGAGAACCCAAACAGCCAGAGATGACCATGATTTAAAGTCTTTATTCTTTCAAAATGCATTAATAAAAAATGATAGCTAAAAAGAGCTAGTAGTATAGAAGCTATTTTACAAGATAGCTGTTTGGCCTAGGTCCCTACCTAAACCTGAATTAAAACAAGGGGGAAGACATCAGGGTTTCAGAGGAAATGGTGAAGCTGACCCCGTCTTAGTTACCTTTATCATATATGGACTTCCTGGGTGATACTGTTGTTGGTGCAACAGGATTTTTTTGTTTCTAAGACTTATGGCCCCATGTCTTAAGCAAATTTACTGAGCTGGGAATAAGACTACCTATTTCTGCAACAAACAAACAAACAAAAATCACTGGAATCAGATTGGTGCATAGAACACAGAGGGGCATGCTGGGCCCCTCACAGGCATGAGTGAAGAAGGGTGAATGGAACCAGTTTAAAAAGATGTAAGATTTAGGTTTGACATTAGATACATTCAAGGACTCACATGAGACCTGGTTTGTTCGGTCAGAGATTTTGGAAGTACATGATTACCTATGGCTTAAAAAAAAAATCCAATACCTGAGTCATGTCTAAATTCAAACGAATTCTGAATCTTGGGGTTAGGGCTAGATATCAGCTGCTATTTAAAAAATTTTAAAGTCCACGGGTCCTATTAAGTCCAAAGGATTGAATACTCTTTGCTAGTTTCTGTTGAGAAGAACGCAACTCATGGCATCTGGGTGTGTGTCAGATAGAGCTGTGATCCATATGGTGGACATGGGCAGGAGATTAGTGACCTTTGCTCCCAAGGCACCTCTATGTGGACTCAAACCCTGAACCTTGTGGTTAGCAGATGAGTGCTTCTCTGGTTTGCATCACCTAGAATATCCTTGACTGCCCATGTTGTTGCTGGTAGGTGCCATCAGTTTGGTTCTGATTCCCAGTGACCCTGTACACAATAGTGAAACACTGCATTTCTGTGCCAGCCTCACAATTTCCTTATGTTTGAGCCCATTGTTACAGCCGGGGTATCAATCCATCTTGTCAGTGATCTTCCTCTTTTTCACTGTTCTTCCACTTTACCAAGCACGATGTCCTTCTCCAGGGACTGCTCCCCCAACAACATGTCCAAAGTATGTGAGATGAAGTCGCGCCATCTTTACCTTTGAGAAGCATTATAATTGTACTTCTTCCAAGACATTTTTGTTTGTTCGTTTGGCGGTCCATGGTATTTTCAGCAACATATTCAAAAGCATTAATTCTTCTTCAGTCTTCCTTATTCAATATCCAACTTTCACATGTATATGAGGTGACTGAAAATGCCATGGCTTGGGACCGGTCACCTTAGTCCTCAAAGTGCCAGCCCTGCTTTTCAATGGTTTAAAGAGCTCTTGTGCAGATTTACCCAATGCAATGTGTTTCTTTATTTCTTGATTACTACTTCCATGAGCATTGATTGTGAATCCAAGCAAGATGAAATTCTCAACATCTTCAACCTCGTCTCCATTTATCCATTTAGTACGATGTTAACTATTGGTTTGGTTTTCTTTACATGGAATTGTAATACATACTGAAGGCTACGATCCTTGATTTTAATCAACAGACACTTCAACTCTCCCTCACTTTCAGCAAGGGAGGTGTGTCCCTTCCTCCAATCCTGTTGTTGCAATCTTCTTCATAAAATCCAGCTTCCCTGATGATTTGCTCGGCATACAAACTGAATAAGGATGGTGAGAGGATACAACCCTGCTTTTAAACCATGCAGTGCCCTTAATAAAGCCAAAACCTATAGAAATAGTTCTCAAGTTTGGTTGTAACTTGGGATCATCTGCTGCACCCATCTCAAGGGAGAAGGTATCAGAGGAAAGCACCAAAGAGTGATGCAAGCACACAAGTTCTGAAAGTATTTCAGAAAGGGTCAGTTCTCCGTCTCTCTGAGCCATAGTCCCTTTAGATTGCCTACTGATAGGACTTATGTCAAAGAGTTACCATGAGGATTAAAATGAAAAGCTACACATAAAGCACAGGGCCTGAAACATAGTAAAGGAACCAGAGATAACACCTCTTATAGCATTAATTACTTCCCATGATTAAAAAGACAGATGCACAACTTGCTGATTTGGATCAAGCTCTTCCTAATCAGGGGGCTCAGGTGACCCTGAGTCATGAACTCACCCCTAAGTCAGCAAAGGGACCATCCAACAGGGCTAGCTGGGCCACGCGGCATCGGTCCCTGTTGGCCAGTGTCTGGGGGGTGCTGTAGCCCCCTCGAAGTGCATTTTCCTCAGCAATCAAAGCCTCCAGCTCTGGTGTGGCCCCTCCAGTCACCAGAGTCCGTATCAGGGTCAGAATATTATCATTGAAATATGTCTGAAAAGAGAAGGGGAGACAGGAGAAAAAAGTCTTTTAAGCAAATATCCTTAAAGACAACATGCGCCATCCCAATTACAGCATTTCTTGGTCTCTCTGGTTTAAAGTTCTGGCTTGTGTCTCTAAATAATTTATGTGGGAAGTGAAAAGACAGTAGGCTCCAATAATTCCATTCTATCCTGCTTGGCTCTACCATAAGCGCCTTTCTTTGCATTCTCCACACCGCCGCAGCCCAAGAATACTCTGCCCAGGTTAATAGCACACATACATATATGAGCAGAAATGGTGCAAGGGCTTTTTTAGAGTTCTGGTAGAGCAACCTCATGGACACACATATATGCATCCTGGTATTCCTAGAAGTAAATTTTAGCCTCATGTATGCCCAATCAATAGCCCAAGAAAGTTATTTTTTCATTAGAGTTGTATAATAAAAATACAAACCAGGGTCAAGAAGTCAAAGACTGAGTTTGAGAATACCTTGGTAATCAGAAAATAAATAACTGCAACTGTGCTGAAGAAGTCACTCAGAGTGGCACACAGCAGCCGCATGCCTTTGCTGCACTGTCCAGCTGGCTGACTAGTACACTGGGCCTTTTGACTGTCCCTTTGAGCAGGCCCTGCAGGGTAAGCGTGAGATCCTCCCTTGGATGAGTCAGGTCCAGGGTTGGCTGCTGGCCTTTTAGGACCACAGCAATGTACACTTTGCACACCTTGCCCTACCACCTGCCTTCACATGGGACCAGCAGCATGGGACTCTGGTTTCCATGGACATTGCTCATCCTCTGCTGCTCCAGCCCCTCAAATGTGGAACCCGATCAGGTTCAGACTATGGCAGCCCCGATTACAACTGTTTGCCTGGCATGACATACTAGTGCCCAAATCTGCTGTGGAGAACACCACCATTTTCAGGTTCAGCAACAAACTGCCCCAGAGAAAATGCACAGTTGCAGTTATTTAGATAGGTGCATCTTCTGAGCTGGGGCTAGCTGCACTGGCAAAAGCTGATTCTGAAGTGGAAAAAGGGATTTCTTCCTGTCTTGGATAAAGTAGTTTTCAGAGCAGGAAAGGAATTCTGCTAAGAGAGGGTGTTTTAGAAACTAGAAGTTAGGTTGGTGAGGGTCTGCTGCTGGCAACCAAACCTCTGAGTCAACAGGCACCACGAAGACTAGACATGAAAACCATTGGGCAGGAAAAAAAAAGTGAAATTGAAGCCAGTGGCATGAAAAAAAAAAAGACTGTATAGTATGCAAAAATGTGAACGTCACATGCTAATGGGTAAAATTATTGTAGGCAAAAATTCAGGAGACATTTATTAAAGTCTGAATGATTGGTGTTTACCATACTTAGTGTTAGGAAATATGTGAATATTGCTTCTCCTCCTTGATTCCTGTGTATCTCCTAAAGGACTTTGGCTACTTAGGATCAAATGCAATCTGTCTAGGAGACCATCCCACGCAGACTGTCTATGGTCTTTTGGCCCATGTGCTAGGGAGCTGCCTTCCCATGTCAGCACTTCTTTCTGTGTCGGGAGGAGATCCCAAGAGAAGCAGTGAGATTACACAGTGAGCAATGTATCACTTGCTTGAGAATCATGTATTAAATTAAAACCCAGGCATCTTTTAAGCATTAATTTATGATGAGGTGGATTTTCTGATTTGTATAGATTTTGTTTTTTGTGTTTTAAATAATCAACATTCTCAATAGTTGGGGCAAATGTAGCTTATTAAAGTTTCTCTCAACACATCTGGAAACATAACCTTCTCTTAGGAACAAAACTGTAAAATTTAAACAAATTAAAAGGATGTTGTTAAGGATTGGTTATGTTACTAAAAAGCACGTGTTGTTATTCTAGCCCCATACCTGTGAATGTGGTGACTCTATTAAGAAAGAAGTTATTTGGATATTTTCAGTAGGCTAAGGAGTTTTTAGTTGTGACAAACAAATGGCTAAGCTCTATACTACCAGCTGAAAGAATAATGGTTTGAATCCATTACCCAGCGACATCCTAAGAATCTGCTTCTAAAAGGTCTGTTTTGAATGTCCTATGGAGAGGTTCAATTCTGCACACATGGTGTCACCTTGGTTCAGAATTGACCCATTGCAAACACTATCACCAGTAGTTTAACATGAGGACAAATGAGAGGAAGAGGGACCCTAATCCTATATGATTATGTTCTCAGAATATAAACTGAGGCAGAGGAAGAATGCAAAGACTGAAGCCACAGAAGCTAAGAGAAACGTGTGGTCCAGTTTCTTTCCCATTGCTCCCAGAAAGGATCCACAGAAGCCGATATCCTGATTTAGACTTTCAGCTTCAAGAACTGTGAGACAATATATTTGTATTCTTTTTTCATTAATCGTTTTATTAGGGGCTCATACAACTCTTATCACAATCCATACATACATCAATTGTGTAAAGCACATTTGTACATGCATTGCCCTCATCATTCTCAAAACATTTCCTCTCCAC